CTGTCTTAATTTGAATAACAAATGAATACTGAATAAGTTTTTTTGTTTATTATCAACCAAAATAATATTTTTAAGTTAAGTATAGAATATTTTAGTTGTAAAAAAATAATCTTGGTTTATAGTACTTTGAAGTTGATCTAAGTTCATTATTAGGCTTTAATCGTCTGTCTGGATAACATTTTTCAATATATAAGCATTTTTAGGTCGATTTTAGGTAATATAAATGGCTCATAATAGGTGCTGTTTCCTAATCAAATGGCTATTATTTGGTCAACCCGGCCATTAATTGGTACACAATTAAAATCTCTGTTTAAATAGATTTTTTAAATAGATGTTTTAAAACTAAAAAAAGTTCTAATAAGATGTAGGCATTAGTCATTAATAAAACATTAAAAAAAAATTCACTTTTACATTAAGGCATCCTTCACGGCTATCTTTAAGAAATTTGTGGCCATTAATTGGTCACTTTGCCCTATATACAGTATTGGAAAAAACATTTGCAACCAACATCGAACAATGCTAAAAAGTGTTCCTAATTTTACATGTCTTAAAAACGAAACGAACTATACTACCACAGCAAACAGTTCAGGAGTCTGGAGTCATAGCATGCCATGACATGAGCAATCAGCTGACAGGTGACAGCACACAGGCAGAATTTCGTTGACAAGTGACATTTTGCAGGGGACAAAACAAGTGCAACTTTTTTGGTTTGTTTCATTTTCTTAAGTCTGGTCCGTGTCAACGTCACAGAAGTTTTTTAATAATTAAAGGAAGTATCCAGAAGTTTCCAGAAGAAGCATCTGGAAGCATTCAGAAGCATCCAGAAGTATCCAGAAACATTCAGAAGCATCTAGACGCATCCAGAAACTTCCAGAAGCATCGAAAAGAAGCATCTAGAATCTTCCAGAACAGGTTCACACAGGTTCATTTCACTATATAAGAGACATGTAAACCGACATGTAATTCAGTCAGTATATCGAAGTCAATCAGTCAGTATTATCAAGACAGTTTATCGAAATGAGTTTTTTCAAAGTGTTTTATCGAAGAACATCAATACAAGAAGTGAAATACAAGTGTTTCATTACATCAATACAGTCCACATTCAACCAAGACGTTATATTCCACAGAGCATTATTGTATCATCCCAAGTAATAGTAACACGGTAAGCCTTGAGAAGCGTGACTATTTATTTTTATTATTTTCATGACTTCAAGTGCAAAAATGGCTCTCGACAGTCTTGGATTGGAACTAAGGAAGAAAATTATTGGCGATTACATAAGTGGGATGTCACAAAAAAGTATTTGTGATAAATATCGCGTGAAAAAATGGACCGTATCAAGACTATGTTCCAAATATTGTTTTATGGGTAAGTTGGTAGCAGATAACAAAGGTGGAAGACCGTTTTCCACCACTTCTAGAGAGGATTCTATGATCGCCAGATCCGTCAAGAAGGATCCCTGGATATCATCAGTCGAGATACAAAAGCAATTAGAGCTGCCTATATCGGACCGAACAATCAGACGACGTGCTGTTGAAGCCGGATTGTTTTCTCGACGCCCTGCAAAGAAACCGCTGATTTCACTAAAGAACCAGAAGAAAAGACTCCTGTTTGCTACATCTCATATTGACTGGAATGTGCAGAAATGGTGAACTGTCCTGTTCAGTGATGAATCGAAGTTCAACATCGTTTAGAGCGATGGCATTTGCCGTGTACGTCAACCGGCCGGAAAATGCCTCGATTTACATTATTGCCATATGACCGTGAAGCATGGTGGAGGCAATGTAATGGTCTGGGGGTGTTTTTCAGCTAACGGTCCAATACATTAAATTGATGGAATAATGGACCATTTCATGAACAAAAACATCCTGAAAGATGTTATGTTACCTCATGCTGAATGGAATATGCTAATAAAATGGGTTTTTCAGCAAGACAACGATCTGAAACACACTGCAAAAGTAGTCAAGCAGTGGTTTCATGACAACCACCTATCAGTGACGGATTGGCCACCTCAATCTCCAGATCTCAACCCTGTGGGAGATCATCAACCACAGAATTAGTTGTGAAGGTGTTCGTAATAAGGATCAACTGTTTGAACAAATCCAAAAGGCCTGGGCAGCGATTTCACAAAGTTTCATTGATCACCTGATCAAATCTATGCTTCAAAGATGTAAGGCTGTGATCGACAACAAAGGATTCGCCACGAAATATTGATAGCGAAATACAGCTTGGTCAACACTAGTTTTGTCCAGAAAGAAATCAATTTTTTTTAATACTTTTGATAAATTTATTAATTTTCGTGTACAAATAATGAACTTTGTGATGAATAAAACTTGAAGAACGTTGTCTCTAAACAGTTACATAGTTATTTCTCTAAATTGAAAAAATGCGGCACTTTTATATAAAGAAACTAATTTAGCATTATTTGGTTGCACTTGTTTTGTCCGATACTGTATATATATTTACTATACTATTAAAACAAGTTCATTGTTTTTATAGATGCAATATACAATCATGTGACATTGAAATGGAAACACTTTTAAAACTTGATTACTTTTTAATTAAACAATGCGTAACGATGTTATTTATATAATTTAATCACACATTTAAAGTAGTTAGCGAAAAAAAAAATATTTTTGTAAAAAAAGCATGTTCACAAAAAAAAATCAAGAAATATTAAAGGACGTATTTTATCATTGGTACAACGTGGATATTCGTAAGATTAAGAAATTATTAAAAAAGAAATCAAAGTTTCAATAACCACTATTAGAAGAGTTAAAAATAACGTGATGAGAATTAAAAGAAAAGATGATATAAATGCAAAAAAGCTGAACTCGACATTCAGCTTTTTTGCATTTAAATTATCTTTTAATCGACCATTAAAGCTAACTTTACTCCAAAATTTTTCAGATAAAAAACTTATTAAAAAAAGACAACTCACCAACTATTTCTGAACTATCTAGAAAATTTAAGATATCAAGTAAGTCAATAAAACGCTAAATTGATAAAATATTTAATTTAAAAAAGTTTCAAAAGGATGCGTACATGCATTATCATGATTGAGAGGTTTACAAGATCAAAAAAAAAAATTTATGGATTTATTATGAAAAACTAGACAAAAATCATTACAACTGATGAAAAACTATTTCACCTTACTGATTATCAGGGTTGTGGAGTCAGAGTCGTAGTCGCAACATTTTTAGCAGAGTCGTTAAACAAAATCGTGACTCCAACTCCAATAAAGTAAAACTTCTTTCTCCAATAAAGTAAAACTTCTTGGTATTGCACATGCATGTGAATATTTAACCTTTAAAGAACTTTTCATATATTTAGCAAAAAAAAAATTTCTAATTTATTGTGTAATATTTTTAAAAGAATTTTTTTAAAATTTGGCTTTAGAGGCAGAGTCATACTCTGAAAAGTTCAATAATTGGAGTCGGAGTCGGTACTTTTTTTAATGACTCCATACCCCTGCTGATTGTGATCAAAAATCTAAACACATTTACATAAATAAATATCAAAAAGCACCCTATTATAACAAGACTACCCTATTATAAAAAGAAAAGTTTTCCAAAATTTGTCATGGTATGGGGAAGAATTTGTGCAAAAGAAATAACATCTCTAATATTAGTCAAATCAGGAGTTAAAATTAATTCAAGTATATAAGGAGTGTTTTAAATATCATATCTAAAAAATGACTTTTATTTCCATCAATATTTCGCACCTAGTCACTTTCCGAAAATGATCATTAAATTTTTAACTGACCAAAAAATCAAATTTATTCATCCTGAAATGTGGACACCAAACTCATGGGGATACATGTTAAATCAATTAAAAAACAAAAAGCAAAAAATATTACAGAACTTATTTGGAATACAAAAAATATATGGTGGAACGTCCCTCAAGAACTTATAAATAAAGCATTGATATCCTGGTCTAAACATTGTAAACTTATCTATGATAACAAGGGTCATCAAATTCAACATTTAAGAAAAACAAAAAATAAGAATAAAAAAATTATTGCTTTTTAAATATGTTTTTATTTCAATGTCACATTGATTTCGTTACATTAATTTATTTGACATTTATTATTACTAGCATCAAGATCAACCAATTAATTGTTGTCAGAATTTATTCAAATCATCATCCTCATAAGTGTTATTCTCAAAAAATAAACTACTGATCAATATCTATTTCTGTATCAATAACAGCCAATACAATAACAACCAGTTACACAATATCAACCAATACACAATAACAACCAGTTACACACAATGGGATAGTTTATGGATATAATATACAAAATATAATAATTACAGTCTGCTCCTTTTCTTTTCAAAAGAAATGTTTACTGTTTAAATAATACACAATTTAATTTTTTTGAAACTAATAATATAAAATCCTGGAATTTCATGATTTTAACCTGGGATTTCAAGATTATTAAAAACCATGGAATCCTGGGATTTCCAGATTACAGAATTTCTAACCCTAATATAAACAAAGAGAAAACATATTTAGTAAACTAAAAGTAAACTTAAACAAACTATTAAAAGAAAAAAAAATACACTTTTGATATTTTAAAGAACGTTATCTCAGAGCTATGTCGATTATCTATTGATCCAACACAAAATTATTGCTGGGATATTTCTCAATAACATTTGTAGATGTTAAACAAAGTTTCTTTATGTTCAATGTCTTAACATCAACGTCAAAACATTTAAGCAAAGATTTCATTCCCAAAACTAAAATATTTGTTATTTAGAACACCATAAATTTTTGTTGAAAAAATATATTTTGTTATATTAAATTAGTTTCTTGTTTTTTTGAATATAAGTGTTTTTACAGTAAAATAATGTAAATAATAGTCCAGTATTCACAGAAAAAAAAAAAATTCGAAGTATATACTTTAACTGCTTGAATTTGATTTTTCTCAAAGCGCTTTTCTTAAGCGCTCAAAATATATTTTTAAAGTATACTTTAGGCTGCTCTATTATTAACTTACCCCGACAGATGTTACTGATTTTATTAACTTTTTACTTTCAAGATTTTTTAAAACTTTGTTCACTTGTGTCATTGGAAGGTTACATTTAAAGCGAATATCACGAATCCATATTCCTAAAATAATTAAATAAAATATCATCATTAAACATTAACACTTTCAAATATAAGTAATATATACAAATAAGTACAGATTGACCTGATAGTAGACCTGATAAATTGAACTGATGATCACATCAAGCATTTATTTTGTTTTGTTAATTTACCTCAAGGTTGAGAAGGCTATTACAGACAAGGAGGCTACTTATTTGTGGTTATAACCCTCTCTCAACTCTATAACTCCGAAACACAAACCTTGATAAATAAGGCTGCTGCGCAGAGAAACAAGTTGAGCACGGTACTACCAGAGACGTGATGGGAATCGAACTCGGAACCTCTTGCTTATGAAAAAAGCGCTCTACCACTACACTACTACCACATTATTATTTAGTAAAGAAAATAGAGCAGCAAAAAACAGCATAAATCTGTTCAATAATACACTTAATAACTTGGTTTGTCATATGCAAAAAATTGCTAAATTTTTTGTAAGAATCTTACTTAACAACTTAACCTCACACAATTTAAGTCATACAAAAATTGAAACCAATTGACTCCCTAAGTTAAAGAGCCGCTTAGTTTTAAAGAAGATGCTTTTAACTTAAGTTTTATACACTTTTTTCAAGACAAATTCACTCACTACAGAGCTGCAATAAAATAACAAGTTGAAACAAAGAAGTTAAAGAGAAAGAAAAAAACCTGGAAAAGATCAGGAAAAGATGGAAGATAATTACAAAGCACCAATAATTGTTAAATAAAAAAAATTATTTAAGCATTAAAAAGCAGATAGTATTAGTAAAAAAGAGAAAGGGATGCGACCTTACTACAATGAGACAAAGGATCAAAATTAAAAACTGTTACAGGTCCAGCAACATTTACAATGCATTTTTAGACTTTGTCTAAAAGTAAGAAATTATAGAAATTGAAAAAAAAACTCATTATAAAATCTACTCCAATTAGACAACAGGTTTTTATGTAAGATCAAATAAGAAATTTATAAATGTAGTCGAATGAAATTATGAGAAAGAAATTGGCAGACACGATAAAGAAACGATAAACCTTAGTAGATGTTTACTTTGGAATGGAATGTATATATATTTTCAATGAGAGGTCAGTAGTGAATGATAATCTAAGAAGATGTAAAGTAGAGGACTAGGTAAGAGTGTTGCCACTCATTAATATTAACAAGAATATTAACAAAAAAAAAATCAACAGTAGAACAATAAGATTAAAAACCTGAATTAATTGTTAAAGAGTAAACTATTAGACTCCTGAAAAAAAAATTAAAAGTTACTTAGAGATTCTTAATAATTGTAAGAAGATTGATTGGTAGATAGTTAGATGTTAGTCAAATTTCCAGAGTTTATAAAGATTAGAACGACAGATGTCAGATGTCACTAGAACAACAGATGTCAATTTTTAGCAGGCAGGAAAACAAGATTGAGTTAAACACTTGTTAAATAGTTTAGAGAGTTTTGAAAAGAGTTCTGGAAAATGCTTTTGTAAGAATGTGAAAGGATTGTAGTCCAAACAAAACGACAACATGGACAAAATGGACAACAATCAGTAAAAGAGTTTAAAAAAGAAAAACAACAAATTTTGGAATGTCCAGATTATTTTTTTACTCTACTATTATCTTGTAGGAATTTATGAATGTGAATGCATGTTTGTTATTTTCATGACAGGAAAAAAGTGTCCATTAGATTCAAAAGAGAAATTAGAGGAAAAGTTCTTTGCAAATAAAATTGAGGTCCATGTAAGCGAGATGGAATGTTAGGCTTTCTTAATTGAGCCAAGCTATTCGTGTGATAAGCATTAGCATCAACGATAACAACCAACATTGTTTTATGCACTGTGAACATGAGCATGATATCATGAGATTAACAAAAACTTTTGCATAAAAGTATGAAAATTCACTGACTTCAAAATTCTAATAAACATTTTCTATAAACACTTTAATTTTCAAGCAAAAAAACTCTTTCCTTGTTAAACAAATATATATGAATAAATGCAGAATAAAAATAAATATTGCTACTGATTTGGAATCACTTTTGTGTTTTTTGCAATTTTTACGGAAAACCTATCAACTAAGATTTTCATATTTGATGGTTAAAAACTGAAACAATTATTAATAATTATCAATGATTGTCTATCTAATTTATATTGTACTGCATAATTTATTTAAATATTTTATCTAATTTGTATTGCATGTTTTATTTAAAAATTGTACTGCTAATTTATTTATAAAAAATTAATTTTAAATGCATTTATTATTAACAATTATCAATGGTTGACTAACTATTTGTAATGCCTAATTTATTTTTAAAAAAGTCAATTTTAAATGTATTTTAAATTTTATAACTTCTTAATGCAAAATGTAATTTGCTGTTCCTCTAGCTGATTTAGAAACAACAATTTTTTCAATTTTTTGAGAAACCCTTTGTTTACATTTTAAAATGATGATGTTAATTGATTTTTGTTTACATTTTAAAAAGACAATGGATCTTAAACCCATAATGCCCCAAACAATTATTTGATAAATATTTCGCAAACAGCTTTAGCAAGACAAATTTTAAAGTATAAAATAAACAAAGTTACCAAGTTAGCCAAAATAAACTAAGTTACCTAAATTTATTTTCTTGTTGATAATCAGACTAAAATCAGATAAGTTAATAAACCTTTTTTTATCTAGTGAATGTATTTATTAACAAACTTTATTTGTTTGTGTTATATTATTTTTGGCTGGGAAGATGAAAGTAACTTTAGTTAAGTGATTAACAAAAGTTACTTTTGAAAAGTTAAAGTGTAGCAAAAAAATCACTAGCGTAATTTCAATTTTATTAAAAACAATTAAAAAAATTTAGTTAGAACCCATTTATGTCATCAGCAACAAAATGTCAACAACAAAAGAACTCAGGTTTGAATTAAAAGGCAAAAAAATCTAGTTGTTTCTATTGAAGAATTCCTCAATTATACTAAAAAAAAAAAACTATTAGTTTAATTATTTTATTATGAAACCAGAGTTTAGTAGCTAACTTTCTTAGTTCTACAGACCTACTAGAGCTTCTTTTATTAGAGAATCTTCTGAGAAACCATGCCTCTATTCCTTACACACCTGCTAATCATAACATCATAAGGAGATCAGTTTAGTTTTATATAGCAAGCACTTTCTAATTTCTGGAAGATGCTTAATATTCGATCTTGTGTGATGATATAAGAGCAACTTTTTAAAACAGCTGACACTTTTACAACTTGACAGGAGACTATTGAGTTAAACTGAATTAAGAAGTTTTGTTTATGCTGAAACCCCTTTCTACAAAAGCTTGACCATGACTAACAGTTAAAATCATTTTAATAATATAAGAAAGTTCGTTATGTTTGGCCAGTTGATGAGAATAAAAGGTATCTAAACAAGTGGTTTTTTTTATCATTTTATGTCATTTATTAAAAATATTGAATACTGAAGCATGACATCACTTTGCGTATATAATCTTTAAACTAACATAATAATGGTTGCTTGATTTACTTTATCTATTTTATTTATAACATAATTATATATTGATTACTATTTGAAATTAAGAGTAGCTCACAATATGAAAAGATAATTATGTATGTAATGTCAAAATAAATTAAGGTTAACATTTTCATCAAAAATTTTTTTTGAATTATTTGAAGTATATTACAGTTGTTATGAAATTTAATAATTTTTCTATTCTATTCTATATTTTTATTCTTTATAAAATTAATAGTTTTGAAGCTTAGAGCATTTACCTTTTTTTCGCTATTTAGACTTATTTTCACATGTAATGAAGTTGCTTACTGCAAACATATCAACATTTTAATGATTTAGGTGTTAATTGTTTAAAACACTGACACGTAAATATTTAAAGGTCAGGTGTATGGTCTTCATGACCACCCAGCAACCGGTAACATGTATCCCAGTGCAACCTGTTTCATATCCTGCTGCCTTGTAGTAAGTGACCAAGGTCCTGGCCCTGGCTGAAAACGAGACTTATTGCAAACCCGGCTCCAGCCCCGGCAAAATTATAAGATTTAGCAGGGCTTCATAGCCAGAGCAAGAAAAAAATATTTTAATGTTTTATATAATATAATTTTATGTTAACATTTACTTTTTATTAAATACTAACAACAGTATTTTGAAGTAGAGTGAAGACTAATTGTAAGAGAGTTGAATAGGTCAAAGTGTTTTCTAGAGTTTCGAAAAATTGAAACCAATTGTATGTTCATTCTAGACAACATTCCTGTCATAGTCTTACAAAATTGTTCTCCTTAATTCTCTCTAAACTGTTTAATAAGGGCTTCACTGAATCTTGTTTTCCTGCCTGTTGGAAAATAGCATAATTGTTCCAATTTTTTAAAAATTCTGGTGAACATTCTGACTCCTCCAAATAACGTCTGATCAGTCTTCTTTCTACTATTTGCAATGTCTTTGAGTTTTTGATAAATAAATTTCTCATATCTTGAGTCGAATAACTTGCTGTCAGACAACTAATACAGTTTTCAATCTTCTCGCTTTACCACTGACTTGCTAACTGCTGTGACTGAAAGAGTTTATCATGCATTAGATGAAAGTGGAGAGGCTAGGGCTATTGATCTTGACATATCAAGAGCTTTCAACAAAGTTTGGCATGCTCGTCTTCTCAATAAGTTTGTTTCATATGGTGTTTCTGAGATAGTTTTTAAGATTTCCAAATCGTTTCTTTTCAACCGCTTTATTAAATTTATCGTCGAAGGCCAATACTCTTCTTTCTTACCAGTAACTTATGGGGTACCTCAAGATTCTATCATTGGTCCCGTTTTGTTTAATATCTACATTAATGATCTTCCCGACAACCTTACATCTCTTTTTGCTGACAACTCAACTTTATACTCCTGTCTTGACAAAAAGTCTTCTCCTTTCAATCGCTTAGAACAGGAAGCCAATCTTGAATCTGATCTCACTTCTGTAACAGATTGGGGCTCACAGTGGCTTGTAAATTTAAATTCCAACAAAACCAATG